GATGAGGACTGGATTATTCTGATACCAAACCAGGCTATTACAAGACAAGAAAACTGTAGACCAATATTTCTTATAAGTATTCATGCTACAATCCACATCAAAACACTATACTAGCAAACCAAATCCAAATGTACATGCAACAAATTCATATCAAAATATTAACAAATCAAATTCAACAAGATATCTAAAAAATTATATACCATGGCCAAGTTGGCTTTAACCCAGGAATGTGAGAATTTGTTGAGTTTAAAATACTGAAATCAATGTAATACACCAAATAATTAGAATGAAAAAAACAAAACATACATGGTCATCTTAATTGACTCAGCATTTGACAAAATTCAACACACTTTGATGATAAAATGCTCAACAAACTAGATGTATAAGGGAACTTCCTCAACTTGATAAAGTGCATCTACAAAAAACCCACAGCTAACATAATGGTGAAAGGCTGAATGCTTTCTCCCTAAGATTAGGAACAAAGCAAGGTTGTCAGCTCTATTTCTATTCGGCATTATAGTGGAGATTCTAACCAGAGAAATTAGGCATGAAAAGTAAGTAAAAGACATCCAGATTGGATAGAAAGAAGTAAAACTATCTCTTCACAAATTACACGATCTAGTACATAGAAAACCTTAAGAAATCCATATAAAAACTATTAGCGCTAATGAATGAATTCAGGAAGGTGCAGAACCCAGGATCAACACACAAAAACCAATTGTTTATCTATCTACTAGCAATGAATGATCTAAAAATGAAATTAAGGAAACAATTCTGTTTGCAGTAGCATCACAAAGAACAAAATCGTACATGCAATGGAATATTGCTCCACCTTTAAATTTAGAAAATTCTGACACATTCTACAGCATGGATGAACGTGGAGGACATTATGTGAAATGAAACAAGCCAGTCATACAAAAAAAGATAAGCACTGTATGATTCCACCTGTATGAGGTACCAAATGTAGCCAGATTTTTGAAGACAGAAAGTAGCTGTTGCCAAGGAATGGGGGAGGGAGAAATGAAAAGTTTAATGGGTATAGAGTTTTGCATGATGACAAGAGTTCTGGAGATTTGTTGCATAACAACGTGAATGCACATAACACCACAACTGTATACACTTAAAGATAGTTAAAATGATAAAATATATGTTATGTGTATTTTAGTAATGAAAGAGCAAAATATTTAGAAATAAATATAACAAAAGATGTGCAAAACATGTACATTAAAAACTACAAACAGTATTGAAAGAAATCAAAGAAAACATAAATGGAAAAGCATTTTCTGTCCATTGATTGGAGGCCTTAATTTTGTTAAGAAGACATTTCTCCCCAGATTGACCTATAGATTCTATGCAATCTTATTAAAATTCCAGCTGTCTTTTAGGAGAGGAAATTGACAAAATGATTCTTAAATTCATATAGAAATGCATGATTTCCTATAAGAGATAGCTTATTTTAAAAGAAAAAAAAGAAAGAAATGCTTGAGAAATTGCAAGAAACCTAAAATAGTAAAAACATTCTTGAAGAAAAAGAACAAGGTTGGAAACACAGTTTATTTCAAAACTTCTAATTTTGCAGTAATCAAGACAATGTGTCACTGGCATAAAGATAGATGTTTAGATCAATGGAATAGAACTGATAGTCCAGAATTAAACCCTGACATTTATGATCAATTGGTTTTTGACAAGGGGGTCAAGACAATTTAATGGGGAAAAATAGTCTTTTCAACAAACTTTGCTGGGATAACTGGATATTCACGAAATGCAAAAGAATGAAGATGAACTCCTACCTCACATCATACACAAAAATTAACTCAGAATTGATCACAGACTTAAATGTAAGAGCTAAAACTGTAAAACTCTTAGAAGAAAACAGGCATAGAACTCTGAGATCTTGAATTAGGCAATGGTTTCTTATACATGACATCAACCGCACACGTGACAAAAGAAAAAATACACTGGACTTTGTATTCACCAAAAGTAACTTTGGTGTATCAAAGGACACTACCAAGAAAGAGAAAAGACAACTCGCAAAAAGGAAGAAATTTTTGCAAACCGTATATCTGATAAGAGACTATTAATAGTATTCAGAATATATTCATGCAGCAACATGGGTTCAACTGGTGATAATCATTCTAAGTGATCTATCACAGAAACAAAAAGCTGAGCACCGCATGTTCTCATTCATAAGTGGGCACTAAATGTTGAGCACATGGACACACCATTGGGTACCATGTCCTCCACTAGGAGGAAAGAGGGCTCCCTAGAAGCCCAAATCTCGCCCTCATGCAATATACTTATGCAGCAAATTCACACATGTACCCCACACTCTAAAAAATATATATCTACATACACAGGAGGTGCCAAAAATGTATACAAATTTTAAGAAATGTTATCTATGTATTACTTTTCAAAGTTGAAAATTGAATTATGGTAGCAATGTGTAATATGACATTTGCTCAACTGTGCTTTTGCCATTTTCTTTGACTGTCCTGCCTGTCATGTGGTGATGGTAGCATTCATTTGATCAATGCCATCTTTTGCGTAAATGTCATACTTAAAATATGTATGCATTTTTTGGCACCCCCCTGCATATAAAGAATTCTGAAACCTGTACAAATAGCCCAATTTTTCAAATGGACAAAGGATTTGAAAAGACATTTCTCTAAAAAATATATTCAAATGAGCAAAAAGCACATAAAAAGATACTCACATCATTAACCATCCTGGAAATGCAAGTTAAAATCTGAAAGGGTAAACTGAGGCAAGGCAGCTGGTGCCCTGGGGATAATGCAAAGATTTGCAAAGGAGAAAGAAGTAAAGTTTTTTATCCACTTTCTACAGACAGAAAGGAGCCAACGTTCATAGGCAAGTGTGGCCTCGATGGCTGGGGAACTGAGTGTATTTAAGACTCTTGAAGGGGAGTTTGCCGCTAGGAAGAATGCCCAGAGTGGCATTCTTTGATGTAGATCACAGAAGTTGCATAAGTCTTGCATCTTGACATCACCAGGCACCATTATCTCACGACTCCAGGTGGTGGGCTGGAGGTGGGTAAACAGTAGACTGAATACATCGTTATCAGAAGCACCGATGCCTAGAAGAAGAATAATTAGGACTGGAGTTGCTTAAAGGTCTTAGAATAAATACAGGTCCTAACCCCAGGAGATTCTGTTCTGTTTCTTGCTAATGATTAAAGAGTAAAAGAATAGGCTGGTCAGCAAAACTGCTCCACAAAGCATGAGAGGCCAGGGCTGAGGCAAAATGGCTGCACTATTGTGAGAATTATTTTATCAAGTTCCTCTATTCTTGGGGTTCTTACCTTTCAAAAGCATTAGCATACCACTTCACATCCATAAGAATGGTGATAATATCATAATGATTAATCACTAACAGAAAATAGCATGTTGTCAAGGATATGGAGAAATTGAAACCATTATACATTGGTGGTGGGACTGTAAAATGGTGTAACTGATAGAGAAAACAGTTTCACAGTTCCTCAAAATGTTAGAGTTGCCATACAATTCATCCAAGTACCTAAAGGAATTGAAAACATATATTCACACAAAAACTTGTACGCATGTATTCATAGCAGCATTTTCCATAATAATGGCAACAACTCAAATGTTCCTCAATGTGTAATGAATGGATAAACAAAATGTGGCAAATCCACATCACAGAATATTATTCAGCCATAAAAAGTATTAAACTACTGATACATGAGTCTTCAAAGCATGCTAAGTGAAAGAAGTCAGACACAAAAGCCCATATATTTGTATGATTCCATTTGTTTGAAATTTCAGAGGAGGCAAATCCATAGAGACTAGAATAGATGAGTGGTACCCAGGAGTTAGAGGATATGGTTATGGGAAGTGTCTGCTAATAGGTATGGGGCTTCTTTTCGGGTTGATGAAAATGTTCTGCAATTAGGTAGTGGCGGTCATTGTATATATTGCTGACTAAGCACAGACTTGTATACTTTAAAAGGGTCAATTTTATGGTATTTCAATTGTATCTCAGTTTAAAAAGCTAATCCCCTCACCAAAGAAAAACTTAACAGACTACCCCAAGAGAGTAATCTTATATTTGAGAAAAACTTTTTCCATGTTAGATTTGTAGGTTTTTTTGTCTGATTGGTAAGTTTTTGATCAAGGAAAGAAATATGTGGGGAATCGCTTATGAAAACTGATCAATTGACTGGGAGCTGTGACCAACACTAAATTACAATACAGAAGAGACTGGTCATTCCAGAGGGGCCCTCAGGGATGACTGAGATTTTTATTTTAGAGATTTAAGATGAGATTTTAGTAGGAAGTAAGGCATTTTTCAAACTGAAGTTCACACCAACTCATCCATAATAGACCATGAAATCAATTTTAGTTTTTTTAAATAATGAAATCAAATCAAAATGTAAAAATCAGAATACATTGTATAGGCTAAACATTATTTCATGGGTTTTGTTGTTGTTGTTGTTGTTTTGAGTCAGGGTTTCACTCTGTTGCCTAGGCTGGGGTGCAGTGGCATGATCATGCAATTCTTTTGCCTCAGCCTCCTGAGTAGCTAGGACTACAGACACACACCACCACACCCGGGTAATTTTTTTATTTTATTTTTCATAGAGATGAGGTCTCGCTATGTTGCCCAGGCTGGTCTCAAATTCCTGGGCTTAAGCAATCCTCCCACCTCTGCCTCCCGAAATGCTGAACTTACAGGCAAGAGTCACCATGCCTGGCTTATATCATGATAATTTTATTTCAGAGATCCAAACACACATTTATATATATAGTGTCTCACAACATATAATGTACTTCTTACTGTGACTCATAGTAAAAAAAAAAATCCTAAGAAATAATCTGATAGAGCCCCAATGATTGTGGAGAAAGGTATACCCAAGATAAAAGCAATATAAATAATTGATTGGAGGTTGATTGTATCATTGAAAAATCCAGTCAATGTTTCTCTATCCCACAGTTACAATATTTCATGTTTTTGTTTGCATATAGGCCCTTCAGTGATTACATAACAAGAGATAGTCTTCCACTCTCTGATCCTTCTCCCCGAATATTACGACTCTCGATAGCCAAAGGCACAGATCCAGACTATGTTCCTCCAAAAGAAGTAAGTGGGCCCACGTGAAAGAAACAGTTTCTAATGGACTTTGTAACATGCTACCCTCTTATTTTAAGGTGTGAGATTTCATTCTCTTTCTATTTTCCCCTCATCAAATGAACTTTTTTGACTACCTCCCCTATGTCTAATGGATCAGTCAGGACTAGATCAGAAAAGCAGAACTGCCATGAGTGATATGGAAGAAGGAGTTTATTATAGGGATCAGCCCGTAAGCAACTGGGGGAGCTAGAGGGGAAGCCTGTGGAAGGCTGTCGTGGCAGCTGGGATTTGGATCTGGTTATAGGTTGAGAAGCAATGAGAGGTAGTAGAGTCACATTAGCAGTTCCCTGGAAGGCATCTACATCAGGGGAAGTCATTACAGGCTCTGTAAGCAAGGGCAGTCTAGCCTCCTTAGAAGGAGGAAGGACTTATTTTAAGGGTAAGGAAGACCCAGCAGTATTTAGGGGTTTAAAGTTCCCAGTTTCATTGGCATCTGCCCGTATATCCCCATTCTGGTTTTCAAAGCCCCACTCTTTTCCAACCATTGTCCTGACTTTAAGAGACTGTGCAAGTTTGGAGATTGAATTTTCTTTTCTTTTTTTCTTAAGAAAAGTAGATTTATTAAAAGAAAGATATGTTTGAAGGGCACAACAGGCAGGTCAGCAGCGAGATTGTCTTCTGTCTGCTGCCGGGGTTCAATGTTCTCTGTAATTTATTCACCTACGGAATCAGATTTTGAGTTTGATTTTCTGAAGTTTCAGTCCTATGATGATAAAAGATAAGGGTTTCTTTCAGGGAAGTCACTGAATATTTCTGGTGCCTCACCTGGACTTGACAGCGGGATTTTAAAGGTCTGAGCTAATCATCTCTTTTCTCAACTTCTCCAGGTACTTAGAAGCAACCAACTAACCCTACTGTACTTTTTCATTTCACTAAAATGTCTTCCGGCAGCCATTGCTTAGTCACTCAAATCCTTGCTTTGTTTTGTCACTGCATACCAGGGACTCCATGGACTATCAGTGTCTGTTGTTGTTTTTTTTTTCAATCCCCAGCTACAAGATCATAATGCTTTTTAATCTAATTAGCTCAGAAAATGAATTCCAGATCATCAAGAACCAGTACGGTGCCTTAAAGTTCTGAGTTGGGTGTCTGTTACTTTATGCCAAACTGCCTCCAAACTTAGTGGTGGCTGGGCGCAGTAACTCAAGGCGGTAATCCCAGCACTTTGGGAGACCAAAGTGAGGGGATTGCCTGAGCCCAAGGGTTCGAGAACAGCCTGGGCAACTTGGCAAGACCTCAAGTCTACAATAAATAGAGAAATCAGCCAGACATGGTGACTTGTGCCTATAGTTCAGCTACTTGGAAGGTTGAGGCGGAAGGATTGCCGGAGCCCAGTAGGTCGACCTGGACTGGCCGTGAGTGTGCCACTCCACTCCAGCTTGGGTGATGGAGTGAGACTCCAACTCAAAAAAAACCCAACAAAACAAAAACACAGCAATTTTATTATGCTCAAGGATTTTATAAGTCAGAAACTCTGATGAGGCAAGCAAGTATGGCTTGTCTCTGTTCTGTAATGTCTGGGTCCTCAGCTGGGAAATCTGTAGTGGCTTGGGTGTCTGAATGGTAGCGGGGCTGGAATCACCTGGACACTTCTTCACATCTGTCTTAGTCAGCTTGGGCTGCTGTAGGCTGCTGTGGCTTAAGTCCAAGATTACGACACTAGCAGGTTCTGTTCTTAGTGAGGGGCTATTTCCTGGCTTGCAGACAACCACCATCTTGCTGTGTGCTCACATGATTTCTTTTTGTATGTGCTCAGAAAGAATGAGCAAGAGAGCCCTGTGGTCACTTTTCCTTTTCTTATAAGGACACCAAACCCATTATGTGGGCTCCATTCTCATGACCTCATCTAAATCGAATTACCTGCAAAAGACCTCACCTTGTAATAACATCACATTGGAGGTTTGGGATTCAACATATGAATTTTGGGGGAATGCAAACATTCGATCCATCACAGCACACATGTGTGGTGCCTAGGCTGGGATGACATACAGGCTAAAATCAGTTGGGAGTATCCATAGAATCCCCTTCTTGTGGCTTCTCCATCTGGCTCCACATAGCAGCTACGTTCTGAGAACAAGTATCCCGAGATGGGGTCCTACGGGTGAGCATTCCAAGAGAATAGGTGGGAAGATGCATGGATTTTATGGCTTGGCCTTAGAAGTCACATAATGTCACTGCAGTCATCCCCTGGTTTTTTGTTGTTGTTGTTTGTTTTTTATTTTTTAATTTTTTGAATCAGAGTCTCTGCCACCCAGGCTAGAGTACAGTGGCACACACACACAGCTACTGCAGTCTCAGCCTGCTGAGTTCAGGCAATCCTTCTGCCTCAACCTTCCAAGTAGCTGGGTCTACAAATGCGCCACCACACCTGGCTAATTTTTTGATTCATTGTAGAGACGAGGTCTCACCAAGCTGCCCAGGCTGGTCTCAAACCCCTGGGCTCAGGCAATCCTCCCACCTCTGCCTCCTAAAGTGCTGGAATAACAGGCATGAGCCACCATGCCTGACATACTGTGTTCATTGATGCAGTTGTAAGTATGGTCAGATTCAAACTTCATCTCTCAATGAGAGCAGTGTCAGAGAATTTGTGTGTGTGTGTGTGTATGTGTGTGTGTGTATAATTTTTTTCTAAATCATTATTTAGGGTAAACTATAGACAGTATATCTCCTTTCCTAAATACTTGTGTACATTTCCTAAGAACAAGGACATTATCTTACACAACCACAGAACTATTCTCAAAATCAGAAAATTTAGCATTGATGAAATACTATATATCTAATCCATGGTTCATATTCAAATTTCATCAATTGTTGAACATGCTTATTCTTAACACAAAATATTAATTCTATGGTTTTGATCCTCTTAACTTTTTTTGGCAGTTAATTGTAAATCTTAAGCTTAAAGATAACACATGCCCATAAAGGAGGCCGGAGTACTCTCATAGGTACCTCATGTACAAGAAGCTGTGTAATTGTTGTTGTTGTTTGCGTTGGTGTCTCACTTGGTCGCCCAGGTTGGAATGCAGAGACACATTCACGATTCACTGCAGCCTTGACCTCCTGGATTCAGGTGATCCTTCTGTCTTAGTTTCTCAAGTAGCTGGGACTACAGGCACGTACCACCATGCCTGGCTAATTTTTTAATTCTTCGTAGAGACAAGGTCAAGCAGTGTTGCCTAGGCTGATCTCGAACTCCTGGGCTCAAGCGTTCCTCCTGTTTCAGCCTCCCAAGCCACTAGAGACTTTGGATGGATGAACTGGAGGAAGTCTTTTTACCTCTGTGACTGTCATTCTGAGTCCCTTTTTAATAGTAACTTTGCCAAAGCCTATAAAACTTTAAAAGGAATTGGTCTCTTAATTTATTTAGCTCATATCCCTGATTCTCTGTCTACTTACTATTGTCTGCAGCTCCTACCCAGATGAATCAACCTACTTGCGTTTTTAGAATCTTTGACTCTTATGTAAGTTTGATGCTTAAGACTCTTAAATTTAGCAGATGCCTTTAAGTACTATCCTCTTGAACTCTGGCTATGTCACATGGCTTTGTCTGATTGCTGTCCTAATTCACAAGTTCATTTTCATGATACATCCTTTGCCCATCATTCTCGATCTCTGATTGTTTTCTGATAATGAAAATTCTAAAAGTAAAATTATTGGACCAAGGATATGAAGATTTTTGAGGGGATTTATATAAAGTCCCAAAATGTGTTCCCAAAAAGGTGATTTGGATTTACATATTTACCTGTATTATTTGGCTGCCTTTTTCACTGCATTTTTGCTAATGTTAGATATTATTTATGTTGCAAAATGTTAATTTTATAATAAAAACTATCTCATTAAAGAAACTGTCATTTCTTTTGTTAATAATAAATTCAAATATGTCCTCATATTTATCTCTCTTTTTTTGGTAATTGTGCATTTATTTATTTATTTTTACCCCCGAGTCACCCACCTCATTCACAGAAAGCCCGGGGAAGTAATTTCCAGTTCCTTTCCCTCCCCTATCCCCTCCCTTCCTCATGGGCCTGGGTGAATGGAGCTGCTCTCACCCTCAGAAGAAAGGGCACCTAGGGAAAGGTGACGATCCTGGGATTCCTAAGTGGGGAGGGGGCAGTCTCAAGGCAAAGAGGGGGAACTGCTCCAGGGAGCCTCTAAGTCCCTCTGGCCTATTTATTTTTCTACTGGCCTATACTTTTTTGTTGATTCATAAAAGTTCTTTACATATTAAAGATATTAATTTTTTGTTACATACGTTACAAATATTTTCCCCAGCTTGTGACTTGAAGTTTTTGTTATAATTTACATATAATACATAGATCTTAAGTGTGTAATTTAATTAGCTGTTAATAAACGCATATATCCATTCAGTAATCGCCCCAATCAAGGCACAAAGTATTTCCTGATCCAAAATTTTCTTCCTGATTGTTCCCAGTCAATTCCCACCCACCCCTGTCCTGGAGGCAACTACTGATCAGATTCCTATTCACCATAGACTAGTTTTCCTGTTTTTGAATTTGATCTACATGCAATCAGCACATAATTATCTCAGCAATGTTTCGTGGTTTTCAATGTAGAGTTTTTACATATCTTTTTTTCCCCCAATATTTTATGTTTTTGATGTCAGGTATTTTTATGTTTTGATGAAAGGTATTTTTTTCTTTCATTTTCCAGATGTTTGTCGATAGTATATTGACCTTATGACCTTATTAATTCATTTATTAGTTCCCATTAGTCTAATAATTTTTTTGTATACTCCTCTGGATTTTCTACGTGCAATCACGTTGTCATGGATCAAGTTATTCTTTCCAATCTGTATGTCTTTTACTTATTTTTTTCTTGCTTTATTGTATTAGCTAGGAGTCTAGTTCATTTGACATAAACATGGGAGCATGGGAATTATCGCCTTGTTCCTGGTCTTAGTGAAGAAGTGTTCAATATTTCACCATTAA